TATAATAAATTATATATAAATAATTTATATTATAGTACAAAAATATTTTTATTTATCAATAAATTATTTAAAATATTAATAGTTAACTTATAAATAGTTATGATAAATAGAAATTGAATTAAATAAAAAATTAAAAGATTTTTTTCAAAATTTGTTATCAAAGAAAAAAATTTTAAAAACATTTTCACATAGATAATGATTTCTATTTAATATATAGAGTTTGATTTAAAAAATACTAAATTCCTTTTGGAAGCAATTTTCTTTTCTAATAAAGCTGATATACAACATTTAGGATATAAGAACTCATACATATTATTTGTGAAGTTGACTCTAATGGAGTTTATTAACTATGTTATTTAGGTATAAAATACAAATGTGTTTGCTGTTTTTTTTTTTTTTTTTTTACAAGTATACAATTTTGATGTTATTTAGGCATTGAATACGAATGTTCTGGCTGTCTTTTTCTCACATGTATATATTTTTAATTAGTACTTGTAAAATATATACAAGGGATAGTCTAATTGTTATACAGACAAATCAGAGTTGGATTGAATCGATTGATACACCAATTTGAAGACATAACTTGATCCCATATTTTGTTTAAAACCAAAACAAAGAGCAAATGTAATGAGATTTAAAATTGGAACCAGATCAATTCTGACATTGCCAACAAAAATTAACATTCTTAACTCTTAACAATTCACAGTATTGAATTTAATGCTCAATTCTATCATGAGATGGAATATCAGAAAAACCAACCTAAACATAAAAAGATGACCAAACCTTGTTAAGACAACGAACAAGAGAAGTAAAGACAGATTTGGCTTTGGTGCTGACTTTTGCACTGATTCTTGCAGGGTGTGTTAACAAAAATGATCTGGACACACAGTGCTTATATACATTTAGAGAAGAAAAAAGAAAGTGGTTAGAAAAAATAATATGATGTGATAAGAAGAGACGAAGAAAAAATGAAAAGTATCAATTAAGTGTTTATATACTTGCAAAGTGTTTATGTATGATTATTGAAAATTATCAGCTTTGATTAAACATTTTTTTTATTTAATGAGATGATTTTTTTCTTTAAAAATAATGAAACAATTTGTAATTTTCAATAAATTTTAATTAATACTAACGGGTATAAAGAGATTCTTCAACTACTTTATAATTATTGCATTCTTTGTTGTTGAGGAATGCACTTCGAGCAGATAAATGTGGATTTTTTTTTTTAATTTAATTAAGTTGTATTTTAGCATATGATCTTTATTTTTTTTGCTTTCTGACTTTTTTTTTCTTGTAACAAAAAAAAAATAGTATGAGAGAAAACATTAAAAAAATGTTAACATTTCTCATAATTACTCATATAATAAATGCATACCATTATTATTTAAGTAAGAAATAATATGTAGAAATTGTTTCCACTTTGAATGGGTTTGCTTATAAAATTACATATATATAATAATAATAAAATAAAATATTGTTTGAGATGTGACCTGTTTGAATAATTTCAAATGAACTTTATAACTTTTTTATATATATTTTTCACACTATAGCTTATTAATTTTTATATATAATTTTTATTACGATTACATGTGTAGCATAAGGGACTGTACAATGTCTAAATTCACGTTAAAAAGTTTGTGTAAATACTTGTATTTGTTAACAAGTGAAAACTAAACAAGATATCATACATATGTTCATTTGATTCATATGAAAATTTCACATGATTTTACGTACATTTATATAATTATTAACTGGTAAAAATAAATATATAAAAATAAGTTGAAATTTATGACTCAATCCGACTCATTCACTAAACGAATTGAAAAAATAATATTTTTTAATTTATAAAAATTATACAATAATAACAATCAAATTTAAACTTAAAATCTTATATATATA